TTTTTCTTTTTGCTTATGTGGTGCTGAGGAATCGAACCCAGGGCCTCGAGCATGCAAGGCAAACGCTCTACCACTGAGCCACCTTCCCAGCCCTCCCTCAGCCTTTTTGCTCAAGGCTAGCACTCTACCACTTGAGGCACAGCATAACTTCTGGCTTTTTCTGTTTATGTGGTACTGAGGAATTGAACCCAGGGCCTCATGCATGTAAGGCAAGCGCTCTACCACTGAGCCACCTTGCCAGCCCTATACATCTTCTTATAATCAAGATATAAGGAGTCATGAATGGCTTAGACAGAGACCTAGAAATTCTTTCTAGTACTTAAAAGAAAAGTCAGGCACCAGTGGCCTACTCCTTTAATCCTAGCTGGTTTGGAGGCTGAGATCTGAGGATCAAGGTTCAAAGCAAGCCAGGGCAGGAAAGTTCTTGAGAGTCTTATCTCTAACTAACCACCGAAAAGCCAGAAATGGAGCTGTGGTTAGCTAATCTTGAGCTCAAAAGCTCAGTGACAGTGCCTAGGCCCTCAATTTAAACCCCAGGACAGGCACCCACACAAAAATATTACTGATCCCTGACCTAATACATTAAATGTTGGTACTGTAATTTTCTAAGAGATAATAGCCAGGCCTGTGAAACCTTTCTTTTTTTTTTTTGTGGATTGTGGGACCTGAACTCTGGGCCTGGGTGCTGTCTCTGAGCTGTTCAGCTCAAGGCTAGCACTCTACGACTTGAGCCACAGCACTATTTCTGGCTTTTTCTGCTTACGTGGTGCTGAGGAATTGAATTCAGGACCTCATGGATGCAAGGCAAGCACTGTACCATTGAGCCACATTCCCAGCAGGCTATTTATTTATTTATGTCCGTCGTGGGGCTTGAACTCTGGGCCTGGGCACTGTCCCTCAGCTCTTCAGCTCAAGGTGAGCGCTCTACCACTTGAGCCACAGCACCACTTCCGGTTTTCTGGTAGTTTATTGGAGATAAAAATCTCATGGTCTTAACCAGGCGCTGGAGATAGAAATTTCACGGTCTTAGCCGGGCGCTGGTGGCTCACGCCTGTAATCCTAGCTACTCAGGAGGCTGAGATCTGAGGATCTCGGTTCAAAGCCAGCCCAGGTAGGAGAGACCGTGAGACTCCTATCTCCAATAAACCACCAGGAAACCGGAAGTGGCGCTGTAGCTCAAGTGGTAGAGTGCTCGCCTTGAGCTGAAGAGCTGAGGGACAGCGCCCAGGCCCAGAGTTCAAGCCCCACGACCAACAAAAGAAAAGAAATCTCACGGTCTTTCCTGCCCGGGCTGGCTTTGAACCGAGATCCTCAGATCTCAGCCTCCTGAGTAGCTAGGATTACAGGTGTGAGCCACCAGCGCCCAGCAAGCCCTGTTACTTGAGCCACAGCCCCACTTACGGTTTTCTGGGGGTTTATTGGAGATAACAGGCTCACAGACTTTCCTGCTGGGGCTGGCTTTGAACCATGATGCTCAGATTTCAGCCTCCTGAGTAGCTAGGATTACAGGCCTGAGCCACTGGTGCCTGGCCCTCTGAACTCAGAGCTCAAGGCCAGGACTAGCAAGGAAGGAGAGAGAGAGAGAACCTCAAAAAGATCTTTGTACTCCAAGAATAGCCTGGCATTTATTCAATAATGGGTAAACGTCAAGGTCAAACACCTTACCTTGGTGAGATATTTTGGGGCAAGGAAATAATATTTTCAGCAAATATTTCTGAAAGTTAATTTATTTTTGTTGGTTCTGGGGCCTGGGTGCTATCCCTGAGCATGTTTGCTCGAGGCTAGTGCTCTACCACTTTGAGCCACAATGCCACTTCTGGTTTACTGGTAGTTAATTGGAGATAAAGAGTCTCAAAGAGCCGGGCCCTAGTAGCTCACGCCTGTAATCCTAGCTACTCAGGAGGCTGAGATCTGAGGATCACGGTTCAAAGCCAGCCAGAGACTCTTATCTCCAATAAACCACTAGAAAACCAGAATTAGTGCTGTGGCTCAAGTGACAGAGGGCTGGCCTTCAGCTGAAGAGCTGAGGGACAGAGCCCAATCCCAGAGTTCAAGCCCCACAACCAACCAAAAAAATAAAATAAAATAAGGGGGGAGGCTGGGAAGGTGGCTCATTGGAGAGCGCTTTCCTTGCATGCATGAGGCCCTGGGTTCGATTCCTCAGCACCACATAAACAGAAAAAGCCAGAAGTGGTGCTATGGCTCAAGTGGTAGAACGCTAGCCATGAGCTGAAGAGCTGAGGGACAGTGCCCAAGCCCAGAGTTTAGGCCCCACAGCCAACTAACTAACTAACTAAATAACCTTAAAAAAAAAAACACAAAAACTCAAGGACTTTCCTGCCCAGGCTGGCTTTGGACCTTGATCCTCAGAGATCTCAGCCTCCATAGTAGCGAGTATTATAAGCATGGGCCACCAGGGCTTGGATGAAAGTTATTTATTTTAAAAGCATAAGGAAAGTATTCTTGATTATGTCCTCTTAATATTTCATACCATTGGGGAAATGGCTGCTAAAATGTTACTCCTTTAGTCTTTTCTTATGTTGCTTATATATCAAACAAGTTGGGTTGGGAAGTGGTGGAGTGCTTGAGGCCACATGCATGAGGCCCTGGGTTTGATTCCTCAATACCACATAAGCAGAAAAAAGCCAAAAGTGGATTTTGTTGTTGTTGTTGGTTGTGGAGCCTGAACTCTGGGCCTGGGCACTGTCTCTCAGGTCTTCAGCTCAAAGTTAGAGCTCTATCACTTGAGCAACAGCACCACTTCCAGCTTCTTATGCTTATGTGGTGCTGAGGAATTGAAACCAGGGCCTCATGCATACAAGGCAAGCACTCTACCACTGAGCCACCTTCCCAGCCCAACTTGTTTGATTTATAAGCAACATAAGAAAAGACTAAGCTGGGCGCTGGTGGCTCAAGCCTATAATCCTAGCTACACAGGTGGCTGAGATCTGAGGATAATGGTTCAAAGCCAGCCAGGGCAGGAAAGACTGTGAGACTCCTATCTCCAATAAACCACAAGAGAACCGGAAGTAGGGCTGTAGCTCAAGTGGTAGAGCAGTTGTCTTGAGCTGAAGAGTGCAGGGACAGCACCCAAGCACAGAGTTCAAGCCCCACAACTGACCAAAAAGAAAGACTAAACTAAAGGAATAGCATGTTAGCAGCCATTTCCCCAATAGTATGAAATATTAAGAGAACATAGCCAAGTGGTAGAGTGCTTGCCTTGCATGCCTGAGGCCCTGGGTTTGATTCCTCAGCACCACATTAGCAAAAAGAAAAAAGCTGGAAGTGGTGCTGTGGCTCAAGTGGTAGAGTGCTAGCCTTTAGCTGAAGAGCTGAGGGACAGCGCCCAGGCCCAGAGTTCAGGCCCCACGACCGGACCCCGCCCCCCCAAAAAAAGAGAACATAGCCAAGAATACTTATGCTTTTTGTTTGTTTTTTGTTTTTGGGTCCGGTTGTGGGGCCTGAACTCTGGGCCTGGGTGCTGTCCCTCAGCTCTTCAGCTCAAGGCTAGTGCTCTACCACTTGAGCCACAGCGCCACTTCCGGCTTTTTGCTAATGTGGTGCTGAGGAATTGAACCCAGGGCCTCAGGCATGCAAGGCAAGCGCTCTACCGCTGAGCCACCTTCCCAGCCCCCTTCAAATAGTTATAGTGGAGCTTCAACTAGTTCTAGGGGAGCTGATGTTAACCAGTTATTCTACTGTTCAGCCTCTTTTGCTGAGTTCACTGGGACACTTCTTTTTTTTTTTTTTTTCCAGTCCTGGGGTTTGAACTCTGGGCCTGAATGCTATCCCTAGGTTCCTCTTGCTTAAGGCTAGTGCTCTACTGTTTTGAGCCACAGAACCACTTTTGGCTCTGTGTGTGTGTGTGATTGGAGATTAGTGTCTTTACAGACTTTCGTGCCCAGGCTGGCTTTATACATTCTACACATTGCCCAATTTGGACTGACAAGTAAAGCCAATTAATATCTTAAATTTGTTGCAATTGTGTTTTGGCACATTAAATATTAACCTTTCAGATTTTTTTTTTTAAATTTCTTTTCCTGGGGCTTGAATTCAGGGCCTATGCACTGTCCCTTGAGCCTCTCAGTGCTCAAGGCTAGCACTCTACCACTTGAGCCACAGCACCACTTCCAGCTTTTTCTGTTTATGTGGTACTGAGGAATTGAACCCAGGGCTTCATGCACGTGTGGCAAACACTCCACTAGTAAGCCACATTCCCAGCCCCAGATATATTTTTCAAAGCCATAAACACATGCTTGTAGGCTGTTTTGGGGGGAACAAGGGAGAGAAGAGGGAGAAAAATAGGGTGAATAATATAAAAATATACTTCATATATAAAAAATGTTTCTGAACATTTAAAAACATAAGCTGGGGGATGGGAAGGTGGCTCAGTGGTAGAGTGCTTGCCTTGCATGCATGAGCCCTCAGTTCAATTCCTCAGCACCACCTAAGCAGAAAAAGCTGAAAGTGGTGCTTTGTCTCAAGTGGTAGAGTGCTAGCCTTGAACTGAAGAGCTGAGGGACAGTTGGGCGGTCCAGAATTCAGGCCCTGTGACCGACAAAAAAATAATAAAATTAAAAATAAAATTAAAAAAATATTTCAAAGCTGGCAAAGAACAAATGCTATCATAATACCCAGTAAACACTATGTGAAAAATGAACTATACAACTTGTGGGCAGGGACTGAAGGGGGAAATTGGGGGAAAGCAAAAGTAGGGTGATAGTGTCTAAAAAAGAAATGTACTCACTGGGTGCCAATGGCTCACACCTGTTATCCTAGATACAGGGGGCTGAGATCTGACGATCGTTCAAAGCCAGCCTGGGCAGGAAAGTCCATGAGCCTCTTCTCCAACAAACCACCAGAAAATGGGAAGTGGTGTTGTGGCTTAAGTGGTAGAGTGCTAGCCTTGAGCTGAAGAGCTCAGGGACTGCACCCAGGCCCAGATTTCAAGTCCCATGACCAACAAAAAAATGAAAAAAGAAATGTACTCATAGCTGTGCCCTGGTAGCTCAAGCCCTATCAGCTACTTAATAGGCTATTATATGAGGATCATAGTTCAAAGCCAGCCTGGTCAGGAAAGTTCATGACTTTTTTTTTTTCTTTTCTCCAGTAGTGAGGCTTGAACTCTGGGCCCTGTGCACTGTCCCTGAGCTCTTTTGCTCAAGGCTAGCACCCTACCTATTGAGCCACAGTGCTACTTCCAGCTTTTCTTGCTTATGTGGTACATTAGAATCGAACCCAGGGCCTCATGCATGCCAGGCAAGCACTCTACCACTGAGCCACCTTCCCAGCCCTCCTTTATTTTTCTAATAGGGTCTTACATTTATCTTGGAGATAGAATCTTGAGGACTTTTTTTGCATGGGCTGAGGAATCAAACCCAGGGCCTCATGCATGTAAGGCAAGCGCTCTACCCCTGAGCCACCTTCCCAGCCCC